TCCACCCCACCAAACCAGCTACTAAACAAATTTGATATGGTAGTATGTAGAGGTACATTAAACGACACATCTATTGTTCGCCATAGAAGCCTCACAAGTGGTCACTGAAGAAATAAGTACTCAATTGTTTTCTCGTGGTCACAAAACCAACATTGTTTACTGCCTTCCCACCTACATTTGACCAAATTGTACTTGGTGAGGGTCACACCCTTATGTACAAACCAAATGAAAATCTTAATCTTTAGAGGAACTTTGGTTTTCAGGGTATGAAGTAACCGGAGAACTGTTCTTATTAAGCAAGTCCACATACATTGATTTGACAAAAACACGTCTGGCACATGTAGTATCAGTCGGAATGAGTCAGACTCATTCAATATGGTGACCTCCATCAACTTTCAAACTAAATGCAGTGACACATCATCTTTAGCCAACCAGGCTCTCCTAAAATGGATGTTTAGGAGAATCTATTGTACGCACATATGTCACCTTACATTGTATAGTATTATAAAGTGTTGAATAATATAAGGCTAGAGGCGTATCGCCCGGATAAATATCCTCCCAAAATCATGGTGCGTCCATCTTCAATAATAAACTCTCCCCTATAAAAGAATGCAACCTTAGTCCTCATCAAACCCTTTCAAAAGGGTGAATCATTCGGCCGAGCCATTACTTGAGATAAGGTCTTGGAGTGTAGATACCTTTTACTATGTAATAACTGTGCCCATACTCCCTTCTCCTTAGAGGAAAGCCAATAAAGCCATTTACTAAGCATACACTTGTTTTAATTCTCCAAGTTCTCAATATTGAAACCCCCTTGGTGCTTTGACCTACACAAAATATCCCACTTAGCCACTCTATATTTTGTTTTATTCTCATCGATATGCCAAAAGAAACATGATCTATAAAAATCCAATCTTTTCCGCACCTCTACGGGTATTTTGAAAAAAGAAAGCATGAGTATAGGCAAACACGTAAGCACCGAGTTCACAAATTTCAGCGTACCCTCATAGGACATGATCTTGCCCTTCCAACAACTAAGCTTCTTTTCAAATCTATCCTCAATGCATTTCCAATATTTGTTCGTTAATTTCCATGGCATGAGGTAACATTTTGTCGTCATAGTTCCTAATAACATTATCAAACAACAATATCTCAGAAGACTTTGCCAATGTAAAAGTTGGAGAGATCACTGTTCTATTTGAAAATACTATATGTTTTGCATCTTACTCTTTATCTCGTGAGCAATTATCTCGTTCTCACAGTTCATCATATTATAATTCCTCCCAAAAAGTTGAAGGTCTGATTCCCAATTGCCAAACAACACCGTTTCTCATCGTGGTGAAAATGGAAGTTGTTCTATGCAGGCCAATGTTGCTTTGCAATACCCTTGTGAAGAGGAGTTGTGAACATACGGTTCTTATGAGCTGCAATTGAAGGTTTCTTGGAAAGCTGTTCTATGCTGGCTAGTGTTCAGTGAACCCCATAAAAATGGTTTTCTCTCCTCTAGCCCCAACTAACCGGCAATTCGTGGATGTTGGAGCTGCTATTTCACAGTAGTCGTGGATGCACCTGATCATGGATGGGATTAATAATACATATACACATCTTAATTTGCTGAATCTGTCCGCTGGTTCTGTGCAAATTTCACGTGGTCATCTTCTCACTATTGATCCCCAGTGGTTATTGACCGGTACCCTTGTTATATGAGATATTGGGTGTATTCATCCCGGAGAGGGAATGATGAATTGTAGGTTTTCTCCTTCATGCGTACGAATGAGCATCTCTCGTGCTGTTTTCACATTAGAGATTCTTTTGACGAATTATTTGAGCAAAAGGGTCCCTCCATATCTAATTCGATTGATATGTTTTATGTCTTAGCCTATTCTGAAAGTTTAAGTTCAATTTAGTGAAACTATAATCTGAACCTTTTCATTGTTTTTTTTGAAAGTATAAGTCGCAGTTTTCACTAAACTGAAGATTAAGTTATATTTTCAACAAGCCTGATTTTTTTCTTCAAAAAAAAACCTAAAGCAGATTGCTACGCTATTATTAATTTCCAAAGTAATTAGTCACTCGGGAGTTCAAATACAGTGCACTGACAAATTTCAGTTCCGAGGCACAGATCGATAAATACGTGCAGATTGATTGTTAAAAACCAGATGGTTGAACCATCAACAAATTACACAAAGATAGAACAACTGCTTCATCTCAGTGGAACACCTTGGAAGGCAGGACTGTACCTTGACCTAGGTGTAGTGCTCAGGTCCAGTGTCTTTCTCTAAGTTCCTGTGATTTGTTCTACTTTGGTGAGGAAGAGGTTGTCACCTCCGGCACTGAAGTTCACCAATATTTCCTATAACATTGTGGAGTATTGGTGGGGCATGATCCCTTATACCTTAGAATGTGACCCTCCAAACAATCTAGCAGGCCGTCCAGCTTTCGATGACGATCACAAGGGCATGGCCGCATGAGGTGATTTCACTATGAAGCACATAATCAGGACGTGGAACCAACGTGGAAGAGATATACACAACAGTTGTGAAAAGAAAAGGGTGCATGCTAGATTTACAATTATTCCCGGTGTCTTCTATGCCTATGCCTATCAAGTTTGAATACTAGAGACACAAAAAATAAGCCACTAAATGATATCGGATGATTCTAAGCCGAAAGAAATGACAAATGAGGGCATTCATCTTTTGCTAGGGTATCCTTGCTCTTTATAAGAGACTTAGGCGGTAGTCATTGATACGAAGTCTGGCCGTCCGCTAGATCATTTTATGAGGATTCTTTGTTATGAGTCTGGTCCTCGGGTAGTTCGAAGATTACGAGAGATCTAAATAAACTATGCATTCACTTGCCTTTTTGTTTTTTAAAAAGGTGTAACCCATTGATCTTCTAACCTTTGCATCAGTGCACGTATCAAAAACACAATTTTGTAGTACAAAGTTCATGAAAACAAAGCTGTTGCCAACAGCTAACATTACTTCCTTAAGGAGAAAAGGTAAGGCAAGTAAGACCAGTGTCGCCTAGTAAATTATCTTGCGGGGTCACGTCAACGGTCGAAGCACAAGAGCATAACTTTGGTGCCATGCATGTGAGGTTTCACTCGCATTTAGGTAGTTCATGCCATTGTGTTTGCAGTTAAGGGTTCCACCCACCTAATACAGACCCAAGTACATATCACCTAATCCTCATCTGCGGCAAGGTGAATGAATATCTCCATCTGCAGGCCAATGTCTTGCAAGCAGTTGTTCAGCAGAAGGAACATTGTCATGCAGAACCATGTGTTGTGCTATTACTGTCTGGGTTGCTAAAATGTTGCACAGAGCAGAGTCTTTCCAATTAATGTGCATCAGAAACAGGCACAATCAGCTTCAGTGATCCTTTCTGAGCTATGGACGGCCAAAGATACAATATATTCAATCGAGATATAGGTGAGCGCTCTCCAGAAGTGAAACTCATCCTCAAGTTCGACACACAGCACCGGGCCGGACCATTTGATCTGCGTCTTGGCAATGCCGCCGCAGAAGGCACAAAATTCAATTCCAAGCATCTAAATCAATGAATTCATATACAACACATACATCAAAAATTCCAGCATCACTCCGTCAAATGCAGGTTCTTCATCCATCTGATGAACACTTAAATGAAAAGGTAGAAATAAGAGAAAATAGGCATCCTACTTCGAACTTTCGGAGATTCCAAAATGGATAATAGAGGCATCAAGATATGCAAAATCGAACTGATCAGAGGGCTGAATCAAATATGTTCAAAACCAATCACGGATAAAAGCATAACAGTTACTCCAGTTTTTCTTACATAAGTAATAGTAGTGGTACTGACGGTTTTGATGCGTTTCAGGAAAACCCACTGTTTGTACCTTGACGTGTACAAACTATGGGACAAAAAACCTGAAGCGCGCCACTAGCCTGTTATTACCATTCCAATTTAAGTAGTAGTCACTCAGGAGTTCAAATACAATGCACTGAGATGTTTCAATATATGGATAACATATAGCAAGGGAAGTCATGCTGAACCGCCAGCAAATTAAACAAAGTTTGAACAGCTTCTTCATCTCAATGGAATCTGCAAGGG